TGTAGAGCTGGAAGCTGAGAACTGGCGACTTTGTAGTACAACTTTAGCACGCGGAGTATCTGGCAAGCTGGACGATGAGAACTGGCGACTTTGTAGTACAACTTCAGCACGCGGAGCAATCTGTGCAGCTAGAAGCTGAGGACTGGCGACTTCGTAGTACAACTAGAGTTGTACTGGCGAACAGTGTAGTACGCGGAGGGGTCATCTCTCGCTGCTCATTCATCTCTCGCTGCTGAGTCAGCTCTCGCTATAGCCATCTCTCGCGGCTGAGTCATCTCTCGCGACTGAGTCATCTCTCGCTGCTGAGTCATCTCTCGCGGCGTGCAGGTTTGGCACAGTTCACACTGATAGTATTTGGTTGCAGTTATGCAGGACAGGACATTCAACTGCTGGTCAAGACATTACTCATCATACACCACTCATCATACACCACTCGTCATACACCACTCATCATACACCACTCAACATACACCACTCATCATTCATCACTTGTCATACACCCCTCATCATACAAGACTCATCATACATAGTCTCAGAGTTCAAGACAGATTTTACATTCAAATTCGGATTCCATTCAGTCCGATGTGTGATATGCAAGGTTTGCCGCCACTGAAGAATGCCACGGTGGGATGTGTGTCGATGTGGACCGCATCCTTGGCAAGTCGTGGTGGCCGGATGTGTGTCATCTCTCGCAGGGGGCACACACACCTTACACACGTGGAATCCCGTGGGTCAAAAGTCCGGAGCGCGTGCGTTTGACTGGAGGACGCGCATGTTGGAGAGAACGTGGACACTCCTATAGGTCAATTTGTTCTTATAGGAAACTTCCGCCGCCGGCTTGCCCGGGAACTACTTGTATTTTGTTTTTTCTTCATACTGCCTCGAATCAGATCGACGCATGCCATGGCTCTTGAGCCCTGATGCTTGGTTGGATTCACTCTCCACCTCCGGGACATGCTACCTTTCGTCCACCCCCGTCTCCTCAAGTGGTAGTGGTAGTCGTAGTGGTAGCGGTAGTGGTAATTAGTAGTTAGTAGTTAGTAGTTGATTAGTTGGCAGTTGGCAGTTATAGTTGTAAGCTAGGAGTACGTACTTAGGAGTTAGTAGTAGTAGTAGTAGTAGTAGTAGTAGTAGGAGTAGGAGTAGGAGTAGGAGTTGTAGTAGGAGTAGGAGTAGGAGTAGGAGTAGGAGCAGGAGCAGGAGGAGTAGTTGTAGTAGTAGTAGTAGTAGTGGGAGTGGGAGTGGGAGTGGGAGTGGGAGTGGGAGTAGGAGTAGGAGTAGGAGCAGGAGTAGGAGGAGGACGTAGTAGTAGTTGTTGTTTTAGTTTTAGTTTGAGACTTCAACATCAGCAGCACACTCAGCTCCGGATGCGAAAACGTTTTTGTTCTCCAGTGATCCATGTGGCACCGCACAGGTATCTACAGTTTTTAGTTACATTTTTTGCATTTTTAAACCAAATCAAATGCGCAACTTCGAACAACTGACACCTTCAACTGTACTAGGGACGCAGCATCGAAAACTGTGCATTCATAGTACACAGAATCAAGGGAGATACTTTCGAGCATGTGCAGTTTCATCAACCGTGCTTCACAATCTGCTAGCAGCATTGCCTCGACAAAGGAGAGGATAGCAGTCGTCGCTATCGTGCCTTGGTGACCAGTGTGACGCAGGCCGGAGTTACAGACTGAGATTCAAGAAGAAAGGCAGATTGTTTAGTTCCACTCTTGTGTTGGTCAAAAACAGTTCTGGACTTCAGCCCTTACACACAGTTGGGCTTCAATCCCACTCAATCTCCATTGTTGCAGGAACCCACCGGAGGCGGATGCTATGTGTGCTTGCGTTGGCTCCGGCCGCCCATGGGTCAACGCCCACAGGCTACCGCAGTACATGTATACATGTACCTTTGCAATCGTTTGCCAATCTTTCCGAGATGCTCAGTGTCTCAGTCACTAGTGACAAGCGAATGAAGACTAAGTGACAACAAGATGGAGTCAAGCATCGCAATCTCAGTTTGGAGAGGGCCTCTTCCCTCAAAAGAGAATTCCCTAAAAATCAGATTCCATACCTAAAGTTGAGTAGGGCACGCCAGCCAGTGCTAAACACTTTAGATGGGACGCATGTTTAACATCATCCGAAACATAGGTCGAATCATACCCCCGAATCATACCCTCGAAACACTGGCAAAAAATGAGATGTTGCTTGTGGATTTGCCAGACATACCTCCGAAACACACTTTGCAACATACCCCGAAACATACCTCCGAAACATACCTTCAGGTTAAACATGCATTGCCGCCTGCCCTATTTGTGGAAAGACCCATACAAGGAACCAAAATGACATTTTGAGCAAAAAAGTAAAAGGTAAAGCAAACAACAAAATCTTTGTTTTTTCCGCTATATTTTCAAACTGTTTTTTCGCTTTATTTTTTTTTCACCCGCATTTTGCCTAGGAGCGTACGGCTAATATTGCTGATGGGTAAAACTTCTGATAAGTGCAGAAGTGGTACCAGAAAAAAAGCAAAAACAAAAACAACACAAATGCAAAAACAAAGCAAACTGCGTAACTGCGTTGCTTTTGCATTTTCACTTGCATTTTCTTCGTTTTAATTTTTTTCACAAACAATTGATGGTTGGTCATGTGTGGCTACCATTGCTCAACACAAACCTAAAGCTTGGCTTGGCACGTTGCATGGAAGGAGTATGTGTCTGGTGCTGGTCTGGATGACACGGAATGCACCCGTGTGCCATTGGAGCTCGTGATGCCATTGTCACAAGCGGCATGACTAGCACTATCAGGAGCAAACCAATATTTGTATTGAATTTGCAAGACTAGGTTTCACAGGCGGCAACATGTTCAGAATGGAGGATGGAGGGAGAGATTCTCGATTCTACTGCGTCCTTTGTGTTATTCAGTTCTTGGATGAAAGCCTTGTCACAGTACTCTTACTGGTACCAGTGAAGAATTGCAGGTCACAGTCTGTTGGTTCTTCAATGCTGAGGTCAACGGCATGGAGACCTCTCAGGTATCAATCTGACTACTGGGTCTTTTTGCGCGAAGTAATCAGAATCAAGGGTGGATTCCTGGTTGGGAAGCCGTCCAAAGGTTTTGCTTAACAGCCCGCTCTTATTGTTTCTGCTTAAATTCTCGCTGCGCCCTCCGAAGGAGGGAATTGTGCAGGTGATTCGATTCGAGTGTCCTTTGCGAGCTGAAAATGACGAAGTCATTCATTGTGAATGTGGTGAAGACTGAATGAGATCGCCACATCTATTTCTTCCAAGAAACAAATGTACCGACTCACTGACTCTAGACCTCGTGTCAGGAGCAAGACGATGAGCAGGTTGGGCCAGACTACTTGCATTTTGCCGATCTTCCCCACCCATGCAATGTTGGAATCTACAAACATTTTGCTTTTCTTGTGCAATTATATGTATTCGTACGACAAGGGTATGACCGCTTGCTCAGGATGGCGAAGATGCAGATTTGAACGGCACTTCTCCTCTCAATCGACAGTTGTTGCCAGAGAGATCATTCTTGGTCAAACAGGGGATCCCCAAGCAGTTTCCTTTTTGTTTGTTTTCTTGCGAATGCCATTGAATGCCAGGCACAGTGCAGATTATTTTGCCTGTGCATGGCAGGTGACTGAGCTCCACTGGCCCACATGGGCAACCACGAACATGCCCCAAATGCAGACGATGCCGATGATAGGCGCAGTTTGAAATAGACAATAGAACTGCCAATCTGTGGATCCACACAGTTGTGTTTACATGTGGAACCTGAAATGGAGTTTGCAAAGTTGACTGTATTGGCCAGGCCTTGAGGCGGGACTGCTGGCTGAAATTATTCTTTGGAAACTATATAACTGTTTGGGCCAAGCCACCCAAGCGCAGGTTCTTCTCCCCACTTTCAACAGTTGGTTTCAGTGCTATTCTGTGTTCCTCGTGCACATTGAGCTGCCAGAAAGCCGAACGTACCCTGTTTGTTTTGAAGTCCCAAAGCATTTCTGCTTGAGAATCCTGCCGCATACCTTTGCACTGTAGAGCTTGGTGTCACCACCAGAGGCTTGGGCTCCGCCGCAAGGATCTCAGCTTCAGTAAGCAACCCCACGTCATTGACCCACAGTCGCCTAGGTATCCCTTTGGAGGCGTGGGTTGACTTTTGCCAGGGAATACTCAAGTGGTTGGGAATGCCGCAGTAGCTCCCAGTTGTCACTGAGTGACAGGAGTTGATGCCGCAACGTTGCAGCAGATGGGAAAGGATCGCTCTGAATTCTGAATGCAAATCTTTGGTAAAGAGCCGTTGGGTCAACAAAGTGGGATTTTGTGTTCCAAATGCGGAACCTTACACAACCCTTTTGCCGCGACACAAATCCATTCACTGCAGATTCTTGGAAAAGGCGCCCTTGCACAAGTCAAAGACAAACTTATATATTCTAGATGTATATGTTAATGCTTTGCAGCACTTGCCAATTCAAGTCAATATTGGTTCCCAACAGGAACAGGATGAGTGGGCGCCGCAGGCTTTGCACTGAGGGACAATGGGATTGAAGGTGCAATGAAGAGGAAAGGAAGGAAAACAAAGGAAGGAAAGGAAGGAAAACAAAGGAAGGAAAGGAAGGAAAGGCAGGAAAGGAAGGAAGGAAGGAAGGAAGGAAGGGGAGTAAGGTCAGAAGGGAAAGAACAGAAAAAGGAACGGAAAAACAGAACAACACAACTGAAAAACGACAGAGTAAACAAGCATCCTGGAATGAGTTTTCAGTCGTTTGACAAAATTATTGATGGACAGTTAGAGAACTGTTGCACGGGTGGAGTCTTTCTTTCGCATGCCTTAGTTGCCTTTTGTGGCCTTCGTGTGTTTGGTCCTTGCGTTTGTAAAGTGTGGCTTCTCAGTGACATGCTGTGCTGAGGGTGGACTACCACTCCAGGACAGAGCACTGGGTCTCGTGGCACAGCCATCGCTGCCGGTGCAGGCGGTGAGAACAAATTATTGCACCAGCACCATGTGTCGTTTCTTTTTTAGTATGTTGAAACTAAACTCAATGTCATTCGCATGTCATACCTGTCATGGTCCCTTTGCTTGCCACATCATGTCCTAATGTGGCGCTAGGCCAAGATAGACCCGGAGCCAACAGGCTCGTTCTCAGCAGAAGCAAAGTTTGACAACCGTTTCGAACCTTCTTTTGTTGAGTGCTTCGGCGTAGTGCACTAGTTGACCGACTCAGCAATGGTTCTGCACAGACTTTGACAGAGGTTGTGTTGTAGGTTGGAGGCCATCGCTAGTAGGTTGTGTTATAGTGATCATGTTGCCCTTTCGGATTTCAAGTCCTGGGAATGATGAAAGTCCACGACTTTGGATCCCCCAGCTGAGCGATCTCGACCAAAAAAAGGCACCCAGCACCGTCCAAGGTCAAGATGTGCCACCTGACTGGTGTCAGAAGACCACCGTGATGCTTCGAAACCTGCCAAACAAGTGCGGATCCGAGCGGATCCGAGCGGCGATGCGGTGCGGACGGCAATGTGGTGCGTCGCTTTGCAAAGAAAAGTTTGACGGCCAATATCAAACCTAACCCGGACGAGTTGCAACCTGGGCAACATTCGAGTTACGAAGGACGTTTGCAGTGACACTTTTGATTTATGGGCAACGAAGACGCCTGACGCCTGACACACATTTACATACTGCAGGACTAAAGAGTTTTGATGAAGAAACATGTGGAGGAGGTTCCGGGAAGCAGATCACAACCTGAGAGAAAGGTGCCAGCAGAAAGCAGGCGTTAATGCATAGGAATGGACCAACCAAGACTTAAGTGACACAAATCCAACAAGTCCAGCTACTTACTACCTACCAAAACAATATGTCCTCAAACCTTCAACCCTATCCGCAACCGCGTCCCCTTGAAGTTCCTGACTTACAACATTAACATGTGACAACTATGTTGGGCGGCTGTTTTTGCCTCTACCACCACCACCTGCAGCAGCAGCAACAACAACAGCACCACCAGCACCAACAGCAAACCAGAACAAGGCATCACAGGTGACTGAAAACCACCATGTGATACACTGTGCATACTTGATCGTGCAGCGTCTTTGTTGAGTCGCCCTCTTGTGCAATTGTGCCCGGCGTGCGTCCCTGGCTGAGCAGCACCTCCCAAGATATCCCAAGTAGTCCTCTTGGAGGTACAGCCAGCAGATGCTTCTGGAAGAGTTGAACTCGCCTAAACCCAAGAGTTCGTCGAACAAGTTTAATCGATGCATGGACCAGACGCAGCAATTCCCATCCAAGTTTCAATTGGGCACGGCGCTGTGCCACTGAAGGTCTGGCTTTTTGGGGACTTTTGACTTCCTCTACCTGCCAATTGATCCGGAAACTAACGCGCCAGGGCCTAAACACTGAGTACTGTGAGCTTTTGCTTCATAAGCAGAGCTGCATGCTATTCGTTGTTCTTTCCCTTCAGGAACCGTGGCTATTGCTTCATTAATTTCACAGATCCCAATTATGCCGGGAACCTTGGTGTTATTCTTTTCAAGTGTCAAAGGAGCTGTTGGCACGCTTAGGCTTGGTCTTTGAAGCTCACATATGAGGGACGTAAGATGGGAAGGCGTGCTGTGCAATCATATCACGGGAGAAGAGAAGGTTATACAGCTTGGGCGAGTTGAAGTGGGTCAGTTTGGGCGTTGAGCTATGCGAGGTCTTGAAGATTATGTATGCAATGAGCGTACAGTGATTGTTTGTTTGATGAGCCAGGTTCAACTCTGACAAAGTGGTGCCAGGAGCTCATTTCACCTCGAAGATTGGATGTTGTGGTCATTTTGCTGCAATGGGCGACCCCCGCTGTCTGGCTACCGGAACCGATGAGTATCGCATGTCAAAAGATGTCTCAACTTGCAGAAAAAGTTAGTTGAGCGGCCATCCAGCAGAATCCATGCAAGGTCTGTGGCCCCTGCGGCTCTCCAAGGCTTCGAGGTGCTTTGAAAACCACTGGCAAATGCAGCCATCGTGATATCTTGAACTGCGAGGCCAACTATGCGCATTATTCCACCGCCAGAGTGAACCGTGGGGCGCTCAGTGCGTTTGGCTAGCGGCTATAGTAGGTGCTCTGCTTGTTTTCATGCAGCATGTTCGGGAACCAGATGATAACGCGTCCAAGGTTGTCCATTGTCTCCTCAGTTTAGCTTGAAGTGTGTCCCATGAAGTCTCCACAAGAATAAGAAGTAGAGCTAGGCATGATTTTCAATCCCTTTCTATGTGATCGAGCGAGCAACAGGCAGCTGGAGACAGGCAAGTTTGTTTGGCAAGGATTTATGGTACCAGCTCAGGGTCCAATCGCCTGCTTTATCAAGCGTATGTGCTCCCGTTTGGAGGCTAGGTCACATGGTTCAACTCCCATTGCTGCATTTTGGCACGCTCTTGCTTGAGATCGTATAATTGATGCATCAGCTTATCTTTCATAGCCTTCATTTTGTGTCCTTTCATTTGGTATTCTTTGAACTCAACCGGCTATCCTGAGTTCAAATCCTGTGGACAGCAGCCGGCTGTGCAATACACACATTGGAGTTGAGCGTTTGCTAAAGAAAGAATTGTCTTCGCCTGTCATGACCTCACTTTGACCTTCTCCTGTCTCAGCGTTTCACGACTCGTTACCGCTCGTGCCACCAGGCAAACACGCTCACTCCTAGTCACCTTTAGTTTACTCTCTTGGTGATTTTTCCTTTGGCCGAAGCTGAAGGTGGAGATCCCTCCACACGGCCCCTCTTCCTGCGAGAGCTCCTGCCTCAGAACATGCAAATCAGTGAAGCCTTGCATCAACTGCTCTTGTGTGGATTAAAGCGTCAACCGTGTCCCCACCATTCTGGCACAAGCAACTGCCAGGGCAGCAACTGGGGGGCAGGATGCCCCTCCTAGACGGAGAGGGGGCAGGCCGGATTTGACCTGGTTTTGGGTAGTTTCATTTGACCTGGTTTTGGCCAGAACTATATGTGTTGAACATCCATCTTCGTCGAAACGCTGGGTATTCATTCAACATGTGTTGCACCACGAACATTCCAAGAGCGTGAAGCGTCCAAGCTTGCTGGTAGCTCTAAAAAGCATTCACATTGCTTTGTTCAGGAGAAGCCAGGGCAGTCTGATTGACATTGCTGCGCGACAACAAAAGAAGCACACGCAGCCAGCACAGGCCAGCTCTGAGTTTTGTGCCAACGTTCTGTGGGGCCTGGGGCCTGTGGGGCCCTAGCGTCCACACGTTCTATCACAGCACTCCGATCTGAATGATTTTTTTTTGTTAGGGGGGTAGGCAGCTAGAGGTAGCTAGCAGTAGCTAGGTAGCTAATAGGGAGAGGTAGCTAGTAGCTAACAAGTAGCTACTACTGACAGGATGCAGGATAGCTCACGATTCTTAGGGAAATGTAGTCGCTCCTTGCTCCTTCGTGGCGGTCCATGATGATTTGAGATGACTTGATGAGCATGATTCTGGCTTTGTGGCTTGCCAGTGAGCTACTGACGCCAGGCGGCAACCTTTTCTGAGTCATCGCCTTGGACTGTCCAAGTTTGATATAGCAATTATTGGACAAAGAGGTGTGCAGAGTCTCTATGAAGAAGGTTGGATACACTGAATGCATGTGAAAGGTAGCTACTAGTAACAAGTGCCACGCTAGTACTTACTAGTAGTAACAATGTTCGCTACTAGGAACAAGTGGGTAGCTTTAAAGTTTAAAGCGAAGCATATAGTCCCGAGGGGCTACATCGGCCTCCAAGCGGGTGGAGCAGCCATGCCTTCGAGCGAAGGTGGAGCTGTGCTTTTTGAGGGAACTCATGTTGAGATACGAAGGCATCGATGCCTTCAACACAACATGCCAGTTCTTTGGAAGTCCATTTTCAATTCGTTTGGATACCATTGGCTTGTCAATGCCAGGGAAGAAAGGCGGCGGCAAGCAGGGCCACCAGGATGTTTCAAATCTGTGCGCTTTGTGCTTTGCAATTTGGATGAAGGTTTTCCCGGAAAGACCAACTCAAAAGTTTGTAAAAGTGCTGGTGTTTGGAGGGCACTGTAAGTTGGTCATCATCATCCAACCTGTTTCCTAACTACTACCGCCCCCCTGAACGCCCACCCTGAACCTTGGCCAGCAGAGAGGAATTATCTCCAAAGCATCCTTTTCCTGTCCTTGTCCTTGGTTGGCTGTCCCAGCGGTGTCCTTGCTTGGTCCAGGCTGTACGTGTGTATGTAAGTCTTGCATTGTGCTTGGAGTGCGTCCAAGCTTGAAGCTCACTGTCGATCTCGTACTCAAGCACTGAGGTCGGGTGGGAAGGGTGGCAAAGCTGGGCTCGGGGGGCCCAAGTCATGATTTCATGAGGGAAGCGCTTCTTGGTTCAACCTTTCCACGCTGATTCGGCGGCATCCCTGAGTTTGTTTGGAGAAAGAAAAGTAAAGATGCTTGCCGCTTGCACACCAATATGCAAAATCATGGCTGAGGCAAAAGTCCTCTGAACAGCCAAGCCAGGACAGTCTGAAACCACGATTCTGCCCTTTTTGTGGTGGAGAGTGTCTTGGATGCACATGATGCAGCTTCCAAGCAGAAGGCAATAGGACAATATAGGACAATGCGGACCACCAGACCAGCAGGTAACATGGATAAACCGGAGGACGTTGTGCAACTTGCTCACAGCCTGGTGAGACAGGGCGAAGCCTGACTTCCGCTTTTGCCAGTTCTGTGGTGCTTCTCTAAATTTTGGCCAGGTTGCCCAGTGGGACGTGCGCAAGGTGTGATTTCAGGATCGAAACCTGATAGCCCAAGCAAGCCGTGTTTTAGTGAAAGACACTTCTCAACGCATGATTTATATAAGTGCTGGCGCGAGGGGGTTTCTATATACGTGCGAGAAAATCATCCCACCGGTCCCACCAGCTAACTGGGTCAATACTCACTGGATCTCAAACTTTTCGCTGCCGAGTCATCAATGAAGGTCAACGAAAGTGAGGTTATGGCCTTGTCCACCTGGCTTCTAGGTTCATTGGGCTTCCTAGAGCTGAATCTCCTCAACCTCCAGGAGCTTCCTTTTGTCCTGAGTTCAACCGCAACACTTGATGCTCCAGCCCAGAACCTGTATCTATCTAGTTCACAATAGAACTAAATATATAGAAAAATACCTATCTAGTTCTGGATCTAGCAACTGCATATCTATCTATCAAGGAGCAAGGACGCTACTAGGGGCTCCTGGCCTTACTACTAGGAGCAATGTTCGCTACTAGTAACAATGGGCATCGCTACTAAGAGGGTTCTTCAAGGAAGCTCCACAATCGCCATCAGTTCGGGAACTCGCCCGTGAAGAAGCATTCGACCACTCAAGCTACTATCTGACCCCTTACCTAACTTAATAGTTACTCGCTAATTACCCCTCTTTCCCCTGACTATCTGCCTACCCTCGCGCCCTCCGCGCCCAAGAAGAACACAAGTCATTTTCAGAGTCCAACTTGTCGCGTTGACTCGATCTGAGGTGCAGAGGGGTCGAACGCTTAGCTTGTCGCCGTAGAACCGTAGAACCTTGTCGCTTAGCTTGGAAGCAACACTTAAAGCTTTTGTTTCTTCCACGGAAGGAAAAGATGACAGGATTCACCAGCAAGGAAATGCCACAGCGTAGCACCGCAACATCAAAGCCAGTGAAATGCGAACTGCCCCCCCGAAAGTGACGATGCTGCATTTGCTCCAATAGCTAGTTGCTTTCTCGGTTTTCGCTTTGGTGCTGCATAACAACGCCATTATTTGTCCTTTCAGTCAGGTAATTCAGCTGGCATCTATTCGAGGTGCAGACCCAGAGAAGCACCTTTCAAGCAATGACAGTCAGTTTGAAAAAGAACAGGAAGCAACGCCGACGCTGTTTCACTCTCCTCTACATTTTTGACCACTACTGGAGCCTGGAGAATTGCTCGCTTGACCATTTGCTTTATGTAGAGAAGAAGAACACGTATTTGCAAGAACCAGATGGCAGTCCTTCAGGTTGATTCTGGCTGAGAGAATTTCTCCACTTAAACATGGTTGCAACGCTGGCTGCTGCAGCCTTCCCTTTCTGGTTCATTGCTGGACATAGATAGGAAGAAGCTGAGATCAACGCGCAGCATTCGATACCCTCCGCTCCTCAGCCCCAATGACCCAGCCCCAAAAGCCACTCTGAGAATACTTCACCCGTGCCATGATTTGATGTTCTTCATAACACCCTGTGCCATGGTTTGATGCTGCACCGTGCGGTGGAATCTGGCAACAGCCAAGAGGTGGAGCGGGCGCTCCAAGCTGATCCGCGAGCTTGTGTCTCATCAGCAAAAAGCTGAAAAGCAAAGAAACTTGACAACCTACCCCTACCCTCCCTACCTTCTGTACCCCCTGGCAAGTTTTTTCACATCCCAAGTATGCTTGGTTGAAGCACTGTGACAGCCACTTGCAGAAAGTATAGATCGTGACTCAGTTGGCTTTCACGGCTCGAGATTAGACTCAGACCGCAGAATTGTGCACTGATCTCATCATGTGACATTTGACGTTCTCAACGTTCTTGGTCGGCATGGTGATTTCTCAGATGTTCTGGAACCTTTGCCACATGACCACATGTCTCGGCCAGTTTTGGTGGAGATAGTTTTGCTGGATTACCACCAGGAAAGAAGACAAAGGCGAACACAGAGCTTTCTTGATGAGCTTGGGTGAAGATCTTAGATGACGGCAAGAAGCCAGAGCCGGAGACAGTCTTTCCTTGTGAGGACGTAGAGCCACAGTCAGCGCGGAATGTCAGTCGGGACGAGCTTCGTCGGGTGAAGCCCATTGGCTCCTGTACGTGAAAGACGCATGAACTAGGGATGTTTCCACTTGGCAGACTCTACTCCATATAGTCTATATAGTCTATAGAGTCTAACTGCGTTCCTATGTTTGCTATTTGTTGCAGTTTTTGCTGATAAGGCTTGGAAGATGAGTTTCCAAACCTTATCCATGTGAACACGCACTTTCACTTGGGTGCGGAACATTTGCACGTGGATGCTAGCGGCTACTCCCTTACCGTGGAAGAGGCCACGAAGAAGC